GTAGGTACTTCCATGGTGTTTAGATTGAGTAAAGAGAAGTTAACCACAAACCTGGACCTGAAACGTTAAACAACAGTCATACTTAGACCAGTGTAATAAATTACTAAGTTGATTAAAAAACAAAAAACCTCAAGTAATAAAGTGAAATATTGGGTTTAAATTCTAATAAGGAGCTCAGAGCTGGAGGCTACCCACTATTCCAGAATTGTGCATTGATGCTCTCACTTGCTGACTCTGAAGTATCCAGTTCTCTGGTTCAGTGGTCCCAGGGACAGGCTGCTGACCATGCTTTACCATTTGCTTTTTTCCTGTTTGGGCTTTGTAATGTAATTTTTCTAAATGACATTATTTAATCCAGATGTTTGTATTTTGAATAAACATTCATGGTCCCTTGCCTCTACTCAGCTTCTGTCTGACTCAGTAAGATCAGAGCTGATATGAAAAAAAAAAAAAAAAAAAATCAGCTGATCTTGTCAGTTTTGGAACTGTGTGTAGATATCTAAGAGGTTGTTGCAGGGAACTTAAATGCCTTTATCTGTTCTGGAGCGCTGGCTCAGATCTGAATTAGAAATGTCCTATTCTGTGGATATGAGAGGCGCGGGGAGTGTGTGCACACACACGAGTGCATGTTAAGACCATTTTAAGCCATATAGTTATGAATTCCTGGGGCGAGAGATTTTTTTTCAGTGACTAATACAGTGTTTTCTAGCTGCAGTGAGTAATGAGATAAGGCCCCTAAGTTTAGTCTGCTGTGTGTGTTCTTCAAAACAAGGATACAGTAATGTTGTAAACTTGCTTGTCCCATTATACTGCAATGGCAGCAACGTGAGAAATGCTAGGTCCCAGTGACATGCTTGAAGATAAGAAAATAAGTGAGCTTTGCGTCTGAGGTGGTACAGCAGAAAATACTTTATCCATATCTATAAATATGTCTTTTTGTAGTCTTTTTTTGATGGAGGAAGGAAACCTTTGGGACATAACCATAAGAATGATGTGTGAAATTGGAATGCTGCTGCTGGGCCACCCTTCACCATCACGCGTTGTCCTGCTGGAGTGTGAGCGTACGAGAGCTTGACTGATGGTTGGCCCCAGGAGCTGAACTCAATGCTTTCAAAATGTCCTGGGAAGATGAAGCTTTGGGGGAACTCTGAGCACAAATGAATGGCAGTCCTCTGGGAAAAAAGAGCTGAAATGGACCATTTTGTACTTTTTGGACTCTATTTCTCAAGGATGAGCAGTCTTGTATGCAGACTTAAAGTTCTGAAGGAAAAAAAGGCTTATAAAGGCTTGTAGTATACCTTAAAACTGGGTCCAGGGTCCTGCAGTTTTTAGAGCCATCTGTTTAGAACGGCTTCATTCTCATTAGCAATACTAGATTTTCCAAGTAGACTAAATGTCCTTTATACCCAAATGTCACCAAATAACCTTTTCTTGCAAGCTGTGGAATGTGAGTTTTGATGTCGGAGGAGGCCTCTGCGTATGCCCCGCTCGTGAGTGACTCCAGGAGGCACTGGGAGAGCTCGGCAAGGAGCAGGGAGCAGGGCGAGGTGGGCTGCGGAGGGCTGCTGGGGTGCTGTGGGGCCCCATGGCCGGGCAAGGTGCTGGTGCTGGCTCTGCGTGCTGCCTCCCAGATGGAGATCTCTGTGCCTGGCAGAGATTCAGCAAAAAACTAGGAGCTGTGGCGGAAGGAGGCATGATGAATATTGTTTGGTATAGTATATGGTCTTGTAATGAAAGACCATTACAACACGCAAATACGTGGACTAAATCAAGTTTGCATGTGCAGGCAGCGCCCTTGAGGGCCAGACCCCTCTGCAGCCCCAGCGGCTCGGTGCCCCTTCACCTGCCAGGGAGCGTCGGTGCCCAGGACACGTCCGTCTTGTACGGGTGCTGCTCACCGGGTTGTAACTTCCTGGGCATGGGACTGTCCCTTTTGGGGATGCAGCACAGAGGGCCACCGGGGGCCCTGATGGTGGCACTGCAGATGACTCGTTTTTGGCTTTAACGACGTGCTGCGGAGTCTCACCAGATTGCACAAATTCGTGATGTGGTCAGCACCAAACCTAGTATCTGAGTGAACCGAAGGGGCTGCCAGCGCTGGGGGTGAGCTTGTGGTTTGATAGTGTCTCCTGGACCAGCACCTCTGACAGTGTTTGAGGCTCGTTATGCCCCTGAAGTGCAGTCTTGCTCGTTTCAAGGTAAAAAGCTTCACCTGGGGGTTCCCGAGGACACCAGCAGCCTGCCCTGACGGCTGGCGGGGGGATCTGGGGGGGGGGGGGGCTTTCCAGCACCCCAGGGGGGGCC